CCTTTCTCAGACCACATCAGCCAGGGCGGAGCCAGACGCCCCTGCTCACCCACAGCGGTGGTTCCATGGGCGCCTCCTCGCATCAGTGCTGGCTCCCCAGCTTGTGACATGGTCTCAGGAAATGTCACCAGGTGTACCCCTGGGGACAGGCTATCAGGACATCTGTGATACTTTGACTTTGCTTTAAATGCTGCATTTTTTTTTTTTCTAGCCGGTTACATTCTCTGACTCTAGAAAGGTGAGTCTGCCTTCCCAACACCCATCACCCTCCATCCAGGCCACCCAGGCCCCCTCCACCTGTTCACGTTCCCTCCTCCAGCCTCTCCTGACCCAGATTCCCTCTGTCCTTCTCAGAACTTTCTCCCGCCTCCACTGAGCTCTTCCTTCGTCTGTTTCTGACATAATTCAAGGATGGGGCCAAATGCTGTGGGTGTGATTACAGAGGCTCCTGTCCTGTTGGCCTTCCACGTGTGCTGCTTCTGTCTTTGAACCACACTTCTGTCTTCATGTCTTTTTGTTTACTATCTCAATTTAGGGGGCGCCTGGGTGGCTCAGTTGTTAAGCGTCTGCCTTCGGCTCGAGTCGTGATCCCAGGTCCTGGGATCGAGCCCCGCATCGGGCTCCCTGCTCAGCAAGGAATCTGCTTCTCCCTCGCACTCGCCCTCTGTCAAATAAATAAATAAAATCTTAAAAAAAAGGTATCTCATTTTAGGGACTGGGTTGGGGACACTGTGGTCCCCTACGGGGGCCTGAGGGCATTCAGTGAAAACTGTCGAGCAATTCCAGGATGCATGTCGGAGGAAGGGTGACTCTTGCTTTGTGATGTTCTTGCCCTGAGTGCTCACTGAGGAACAGCTTCAAAACTCCAGCAGGGGGACCATTACGGGGATAACTGGAGGCTCTAGAATCTTACTCAGCTCTCTAAAATCCGTGAAATAGCAAATTCCGATTCTCAGCTCATTGCTTTCAAGCTCTTATTCACTCCCAGTTATTTTATGGACACTCATAAATAATATATAAGGCGAATTGTAGGTAATAACTAACATTCGTTTAATACCCATTCCTCATTAAGCACCGTGCTAAGTGTCCTCTGGGATCTGAGCTACTGTTTAACTTCCTCCATGCACCCATCCTGTAGATGGGGCAACTGAGGCTTGCATGGGGTCAAGCAGCTCTCAGGCAGTGGAGTCGGGTGCAAATTCAGTCCGCTGAAGTCATTCGAGGAAGACAACAGGAGCAGTATGCTTGGGACGCCCGTTCTGGAAGTGCACAGGGGTATTTTTTGGTTCTTAACCATAGTTGGAAGTATTCCCAGCATTTGGTGGGAGGTGGAGATGGATGCCACACCTCTTGTGGTGCATGGGGTCTTGCATCCTATAGTTGTCCCACATAAATTTTTCATGACCCTGATGGACATTCTTTCCGTAGGAAGAAAATAGCTCTCATCTATTTATAAATGCCTGAGTCTGGAACTTCACTCAATGTTACATTTAAACCCCAACTACTTTTGCACAACTCAATCTATTCTGCATTTCCTCTGAGGAGAGCTTGTTTGTTTGGTTCTGAACATACCAGTTCTGGAAAAATCACTTCACTGATGTTATCACCGAGCGTCATTTGAGCGACCAATGCAAAACAGACCTGTGCCGATCTGCATTTGCAGCTGATGAGTTTCTTGTGGCGATCCTGTGCAAGGACACGCACCTTGAACCACGACCCTATGTCTTCCAGGGGCACATACTAACCTAGATATTCCAGTGTAGATTATTTTCTCCTTTATATTATACTTGGGGCTTCTGAATTCTTTTTTACATGTGTGTAGGTAGGTTAAAATTTTGTGACAGTCACAGGAGGGAACGGCAGAGTGTCCCAGAAGGTGTTTACCAGCCTCTCAGGGTCCCCAGGCAGCAGGTGGAGAGGTGAGTTGGAGGCAGAAGATGCCATTCTGGCCCGGGTGGGTTTGTACCCAGACGCCCAGCCCTACTGGCAGATCCTGTTGTGTGGCTGGACTCAGGAATGAACTCTTTTGAAAGCCAAGAAAGAGGGAGCCCAAGTGCAAGTCCGGGTCTGCTGGGCTCGAGGCCACTGCTCAGCCTGGGATCAGCTCCAGAGGATTTTACTGGCACTTGCTCGGTAGCCGGTGGGGAGAGCCAACTCCCGCTGGGTGGAGGCTCCCCCTCTCCTGCGTCAGCTACCCCTGCCAGGAGCCATCCCCACCAGAGGTTTGGTCAGACCTGGGGAACAGGGAGCATGCCCTGTGTTCTGAGCAGCCCTGCAGGCAGCACGCTGAGCCCCGAGCCGAAGTGACTGGCAGGGAGGGTGTGCATGAACCAGCTTGTCGCCACAGGCGTGTCGAGGGCATGCCTCTTCCCTGGCTTTGTTGCCTGTGGGAAAGCGATTGGATATTGGGATAGGTTGGCCAGCATGCTCCCTAGAAACAGAGAATGAGCAGGAAAGGGGGCCCTCGGGGCTAAGCTTGCTGAAGGGCCACATCGAAGAGAGCACGGGCCACGCCCTCACTGACTCAAATCTTCGCTGACCCCAGAAGGGCTGTGAGACTGGCGTAGTGACAAGGACCCTCGCCAGGGCTGGGTCCCACCACTGCTTTGCTCGGTTTTGGTGCTGTTATAGATTGAATGTTTGTGTCCCCTACAAAATTCACAGGTTGAAGCCTTAACCCCCAGTGTGATGGTATTTGGAGGTGGGGCCTTTGGGAGGTGAGTGGGTTTAGATGAGGACAGGCGGGTGGGGCCCCTGCAATCGGATTAGTGTCCTTGTAAGTATTCAACACTAGAGCTCTCTCTCTCTGCCCACTCCATGAGGACACAGGGAGAAAGCGGCCTCCTACAAGCCAGGAAGAGGGCTCTCACCAGACACTGAACATACCAGCACCTTCGGCTTGGACTCTGAGCCTCCAGAACTGTGTTAATAAATATTTGCTGTTATTGTTATAGCAGCCTGAACAGACTAAGATGGGTGCCGTGCAGCTCTGAGATGAGGAAGAAGCCCTGCTGGAAGCGAATGGAGAGGATGAGTTTACAAAGCGTGCAGATGCCCTCAGATCGTGGGCCCTGGGGTCGTGGAAGGAGGCACACAGCTGGCTGCCAGCCAGTGCCCTTTGGGCACCTCTCCAGAGAACCAAGAGTAAACCTCTCAGACCATGTACCAGATCCTGGAAGGATAAGCCCATGGTGTGAGCTCCTGGAGAGGGAAACCGGGTTGAGGTGGACTGAAACCTTCACGAAGCAGCAGCTGCAGAGGCTGATCCCCCTTCATGCACCTGCATACCTGCCTAGACATGACCTCCGAGGACGCAAACTAAGGGGCTGACGGCAGCAATCTCCGGGCGGCCTGACCATGGTGATTTTACGTTCTTGGGTTTGTGTGTCTGACTCTTATAAACATCTACCATGCACCTATGATACATTTATAATAATATTTTCCTTTAATTAAAATAAAAAGCCGTCCGTGAGCAGTTTTCTTAATATCCCGGAGCAGGAGAATCCTTGGGGATGATCTGATTTCCAGGGGTGGCTGTCAGGAGTGGAGGGTGGGATCAGGAAGACTTCCAGCCAGGAGTCCTATTAAGTGACTGCCAGCCATTCTTGTTGGTGGTACATTTACTGTGGGAATGAGAATTCCCAATCACATCTCAAAACCACACGTTAGCTTTGGGCAAATTAAGAATCTTTGTAGACGTTCTCATGGCAAAACGAACCTCCATATTTATCATGCAGGTGAGACACGAGGTCAAAGCACCAGGCCTTGGCCAGATCACCCATGGTACCATGCCACTGGTTAGTGTGTAGGTTTGGGACCTGCAGGGTTTCAGGACACCCATCTGCCTCCGAGTCCACACACCTCCTAATGTGTCTATTCACCGCCCCATGGAGGGACTCAGGCAGTGGTGAGTGTTCGTTGAGTTTCTCAGCTTCAAACCCAGCATCTGAAGATCTTCTGGAGTGTTCCAGGTTTCTTGTATCCCTACTCAGTCAGACATAGCCTGTTACTGGGAGCTGGAGCTCAGAGGGAGTGAATTTTGCTGGGAAAATTACCATCATAGCTAAGGCCTTACAAAGGGTCCCAGCTGCAAGCCTCAGAGAGAGGCTCCTTCCAGCAAAGTTGACTTTCTTATCACAGGATAAGGATAAACAAACGGCCACACTTGGATCCTCTTAGTCAAAGCATCACAGAGAAACTCCAGACTTGGAGGCCATTGTACCTCTGTACTGGTGTCTGCTCCCGATTTCAACACAGTGGGGGGAGGGTTCCCCAACAACAAGCAGTTCTCACAACCAGGGTGTCTGAGAATTCACCTCAAATCTGACAATATCTACCCAGGGAGAGCATCACATTTCACAGGAGGAGGGCTCAGTCCTGCAAGACTGCCCCTTACCCCCCCACTCCAGATGCCAACTGCAAGTCTGGTCATCACCCCTGCATCCCACAGACTGGCTATAAATCAGAAGTTCCCACGGCCCCCTCCTTGGGTTTGATTAATTTGTTAGAGCAGCTCACAGAACCGAGGGAAACATTTACTTGCTAGATCACTGGTTTACTGTCAAAAGGCTGTAACTCGGGAACCGCCAGATGGAAGAGATGCATGGAGCTAGGTATGGGGAATTGCACACCTTCCATGTCTTCTCTGAGTGCACCCTTCTCCCCAAATCACCATGTGCTCACCAACCCAGGAGCTCTCTGGGAACCAACCCCCCCCTCCCCCCTGCCCTCTTGGTTGTTCAGGGAGGCTTGGTTACATAGACACAATTGATTACATCACTGGCCATTGGCAAATGAAGTCAACCTCCAGCCCCTCTCTCTTCCCTGTGATTGGCTTCAGTGGCAACAAGACGCCCTCCTTTCCAAAAGCCACCTCATTAGACAGCTTTATCCCTCTCAATACTCAGGGAAATTCCAAGGGTTTGAGGAGCTGTGAGCTAGAAACCTTGAAGGAAGACCAAATATACATGAGAAATTTATTTTGGTCATCTGAATGACCAAATATATATTTTTCTCATAAATCACAATATTGTGATCTCTGCATCCAGAAACATGAGGCAATGGTTCTGGTAGGTTTAGGGACCGAGTTATCTTTCTTGGCCAAATGAATCAGGATGCCTTAGTTCTCAAGCTCAGACCCAACTGGGCAAGTACACACACTGTGGACTTCCAGGCCCCAGTCCCGGAAGACTAATTCCCAGTGTGCCAGTGGAGTCCTGGAAGGTGCATTAAAAAGAAATCACTCAGGATAGAGCAGCAAGCTAAGTAGCACAGTGGGGAAGGGACCAGATAAGTCCAAAAGATGGGCCCTAGTGTCCAGTAAATAGGCCAGTCCCTTAGCATCCCACTGTGTGGTCCTGGAGTGGATCTCAGTTTAGACAGAACCACTAATTGTAGAGGACATTTTGGGTCAACTGGGGAAAACGAATATATATTTTTTTCTAATAGAAAAATGGATACTGCCAACTGAGAAAAGCAGGTTTAAAAACAGAAGTCACATACTATGGTGTTAAGCATGTTCGTCTCTGGATGGGGTGACCATGGGTGTTTTTGTGTTCTTAGTTTTGTTTATTTGACTTTTCTAAATTTCTGCAATGTTTATCCAATGTTTTCTTAAAAAAAATATGCCACCCAGATGATTCTGATGCATATCCACATCTGAGAACTGGCTTGTTGAGGAGAACTTTCTTAACCTATCTGCACACCAGAGCACCAGGGGCCCCTGCTGAGAGTATGGGTTCTCAGGTCCCCACCCAGCAGGATTTGATTGGTATTGGGGTGTGGCCTGCGAGGTGGATTTTCCCAAGTGCCCCGGTCTGTCATTTCTACTGTCAGCCAAGGATGAAACACTCCGCTTTAGACCAGAGCTTCTCCCACTTTATGGACATCTTGTTAAAATGCAGACTCGGATATGGTAAGTCTGTGGCAGAGCCCTGGATTCTGCATTTCTAACAACTCCTGGGGGATTCTGAGGCCACTGTCTCCAGACCATATGGGGAACAAGGCTTGAGAGGATGGAGAGAAGCCAGAAGAGGTCTTGGTTCACCACACAAACTCCCCTGGTGCAGTTAGAAACGGCTGCGTGAGGGAGGCCATCCGGAACAGGGGACACCAGGGCCATGCCCATGGTGACCAGGCAGGGGGAGAGAAGAGGCGGCAATGGCAGAATGGAAGGCAACAGGGCACGGTGGGGACTGGGGCTGCCCTGATCCGAGCAGGCAGTGGCTGCTCATCCCCAGCCCCAGTGGTGGCCCCCCGCTGTAAACACTTGTCCAGCATCATCAAATCTTCCCCTCTTTTCCCCAAAGGAGACAGAAATGTGATTCTGAAATGAAATCTATTTTCAGAACACGGCAGAGACCAAACAGAATGCATCTGCCATCCATGCTGGTATCACTCAGAGTGGCAGTCAAACGCCCAGGCCTGATCACTAAACCCCAGTGAGTCAGTCCACCAGAGGAAGGTGAACCAATAATTATTCTTGCAGACTTTGAAGGCAAAAACCTAAACACAGCAGAAATTCCAGAATATTCAACTCCTGTGTGTTAAAATGAGCACAATGAAAATTGATGCCAGCTAGCACTTTGCCATGGCTGTGTAAACACGGTCCCAGGGCAGATGAAGGGGCTGGAAAGCTTAAGTGGTGGTGGGGGGACTGTTATAGGGGCAACTGGACATCCTAAGGCGGGCGTATTAAGGAGCTTCTTTCACTGGCATCCATTGTCCACTCAGCCATTCTTAACCATGCCCCGAACTTGCCATGAGCTCAAGTTCTTGAGATTTGCAAGAAAACCGTACCAGAGCGCCATAAGAAAGCTAATTCTGCAGCTCTTAATGAATCCCATTTACATTTTTCAGCTCTTTGATTTCTGAGCACTATTTAAGGGGGAGGTTTGTTCAGTTCATTTACTTTGGATTTTAACTGTCCAGGGTGACAATCCTCAGCAGTATAATTTCCCTCCTGTGCCCAAATCAATAAAATGCACCCAAGAGCTAATATCCATTTTGAGCTCCACTGAGGCCCAATACTTTCTAGAGTCACAGTGAGTTGGAAAATAGTAAACAACCAGAAGTGAGCCGAGAGCTGCCACAGGCATTTGGCTCTCAGTGGAGAATAAGAACCCTCCAGCCCACATCTTCCTGTAGAAGAGATAACCCTAAACTGAGGAATTGCAGAGTTAAGGGAATTGACTGCAGTATTTTCTGGTGAGCAAAGGAATGGATGCCATGCCTCCTCTCCCTCCCACATGACATATTTGGGTAAGTTCCTGGGGCAAACATTGTAGGTTGGTTGACTTAACACCCATTCCAGGTCATTGTTCTTCCTTTCCTGCCTCTATGAGAGAGTCTAAAGAAGCAAACATTTAATTTCTCCATCCTCTCCCATCCCTTAGGTGTGGGTATATGACATAGCTCTGGCCAATGAGACATTGGGAGAAGTCTATTGTAACAGTGGCTTAAGGATGATTCGGGGAATCTTGGGCTTTCCAGATGTAATGAAAAGGTGAGATAGACACCACCTCTTCCCACCCCCTCTACCTTGCATGCAGATGTGATGGCTGGAGCTGAGGCAGCCGTCTTGAAGTCCCGAGGGACAGAGTGAAGAGAATCACAATGACATTACTGTGAGGCTCAACGGAAGCCACTAAATAACTCCCAAATTGTTTCAGCCACAGTGGTCCTATTTCTTATTATGTATAGCCAACATAATCCTAAAATGTATAATTTCTCATAAAATCAGATAAAGATACAAAATCTTACCATAGAAGTGGCCACACAAAGCAAGGATGCCATGTTTTACTGCAGCTTAAATTGGCTTCTAGAGTCCTAAAGCCCTGGAGGGCTTTGCTGGTAACACTACCAAAGTAGGATAGGTGGAGCTGAGAATCCCACTTATTGCCACCTAACCCTTCTTTTATAGGTGAGCTTTAGCAGCATATGAGAAGAACTTACACAAGAAATATAGTTTAGAGAGTTTAAGAGAGCCCCATCTTGAGCCATGGGAAGAAAGCAAGGTTAGTACGTGTCTCTAAATAGTATCTCTGCCTCTAACATTCCACTATAGAATCTTATTCTCTGTGGCCAGTGGCCCAGGGCTGGTTACCTGGATGCTGAGTTCTGCTGAGGATTTGGTCAAGAGACCATGACCACACATTCTTTCTCCACACTGAGAAAGGCTGATTAATTCCTGTCATGGAAAAGGATCCCATGGGATTCTGCATCGAGCATCACTTCAAATAGTAGCACCTGTTTACTGAACATGTACCTGTTTCCATGTTCAGATGAGGACAGAGAGGCTCTGGAATCTAAAGTGATTGTCCTAGCACCCGCAGCTAGAAATGGAGATACCAGTCATCAAAGCTCACACTCTATACTATTTGATCAACTGCATCCTCAAAACTACCCGAAGGAGCTTCAGGTGCGTCCCAATTTAGAAAGAAGTCAGTTCTTTCCTCCCCTCAGTCCAAGCTGAGGCTGGTGAGACATGCTGGGAATGTGTTCACCAAACATTCCGCATGCTTCCCTGCTCCTCAGCCTCCCCTGCAGTTAGCGTGGGGCCACGTGACTAGTCCTGGCCATCGGGTTGGCGACAGAAGTAGATTTCTCTCCTGGGCTGAGGGAGGTAAAAGCCTAATGTCATTGCCACCCATCTTCCTCTGATGTAAGTGACCCTGGAGACCACATGTTCTAGATAGAGTAACTACAAGACGAAGGAGGGTAGCCCTATTTGTATCCCAAATTTCTTTATACTGTTAGGACACTGAGGTTGATTTGTTTATTATTGTAGCATAGCTGAGCTTTTGCTGACTGATAAAATGGGCCTCTTAAATGTGATTAGGCCACCTTGCTTGTAGTCATTTTGCCAAGGAGGGAATTGTAATGGGGAAGCTATTACAATAGGGGGTTCATTTATCACTGGGGTTATTCTGTATCCAAATCATGGGATGCCTTATTTGCATAATGAGGCAGACAGTTTCTTAGAATTAACATGAAGATGTTACTTGCATTACACAATTTGGTACTACTTAATGGAAATGATGATATTCTCTAATTTCAACTAATACTTTCAGCTGCTGCCTCTTAAGAATTTTGTACTTTGGTCCTATATTTTCATAGGATGAAATGTTTGCAAAACATATTTATAAGCATCTGCATGCTAACGGATGCAATTTCATGACCCATTACACTTTCCATGCAAATGTAGACGGTAGGGCTGCCTGAGCAGGGAGTTGGCTGAGCTTTGCCAACTGCCTGCTTTTGACAGCGGACTAGAAGAGTCTGTTTGAAATAAAAATACACATTGGTGATTCAAATACTTACTGAGCATGTACTATGTGCCAGGCGTTTTCCTAGAGGATGGAGCACAGTGGTAAATAAGACAGAGTTCCTGTCTCATGAGATAGATGGAGATGAACTTTGGAAATGACAGGTGAGTTCATTTGAGGGTATTCAGAAAATCTAAAAGCCAAGGGTGTGTGTGAAGAGAGAGAAATGAAAGATTCCAACCAACAGTTTCATCCAAACTGATACATCTAAGTCTTTTCACCATCTGGCCCTGCTCACCTGTCCAGCCTTCTCTCTACTGCTCTCCTCTCTCTACTTCTACTGCTCCTGCTGCACTGAACAATGTACCTGTCTCAGAAGGCGCCAGGCTTCCTTCCCTCCCATGCCCTTGTCTGAGCTGCCCCTCTGCCTAGAATATACATTCTTCTTCCTTCCTGGTGTTAGCATTAACAAGCTTCCTCTAGGAAGCCTCCTTGGATTGCTCCTAATTTGGCTTAATCCTCCTAGTGATCCCACATTGCTGTCTATGCATTTACCTGATTAACCTACACCTTTTCCTCACTGGCTGGAGGAGTTGATGGAGACCTGATGGGTGCATGGGACAAAGGGAGAGTGCCAGGGAGAGGGGTGAAGCAGACGTAGAAGGCGGACAAGATGACTGGCATGGTTGGGAGACTGGTCACACCGAGTGACTTGATCAAGCCAGTTAGTAATTCAGCTGAGGATAATGTCAGGTTCCTCACTGTTGCAGAAGGTATGTACAAGCCTGGAAAGGTGCGACAGCTGGAAAAAGCCCTGAGACACTGGATTGGAATTGCAGATATTAGTCTGAACTTGTGTTTTAAAATGTGGTATATGCATAAAAACACAGGTAGAGTACGGCTAGAGATGCATGCCTCTATGGACATACGCCATGCATGGATGTGTATACGTACACATGAGTATATATTTGTGTGTGTCTCTTCACTCTGTCTGCTGAGGGTTTAGAAACAATGACATCCGAGCCGTAATAATGAGCGCACCACCCAGGCCTTGATTTCTAAATACTACCCTCCACTAAAAGAACCAAGTTGTTCCATCCAGGGTCAGTGCGGGGAAAGTACAATATGATCCTAGAATATCTTATTTCACAAGTAAGTAAGAAAGTGATAAAAAAAAAATGATAAATGATCAAAAGCACCAGTATTTGGCTTCCACTGGCCAAATATGGCCTAATTTAAGCACGGCATTACAAATAAAGATAGAGACAGAAAACAACCCAATGACTAAAATTCAAATCCCATGAGTCCATACTGATATTTTAAAAATGAATAAGTAATCCCACAGAGGAGAAGGATATACAGGTTACATACAATCTTTTCTCCTGCCTTAATTAAAAACAAAACAAAGCCAGAAAACACAAAACCACCCCAAATCTTAGGTCACTCCCCCTAATGAAGCATCACGTCCCCCTGTCTCCTCGGCAGCTGTGTGGTCACATGATTAAGGGTGGCTAATGAGAAGGAAGCAGAGGTGCATGCAGCTTGGGGAGAGCAGGGGCTGCGGGTCCAGAGTGTGGATGTGAAGGCTGGCGTTGCATCTGCCATCCCGAACCACGAATGGCCTCGAGGGTGGAAGCTGTGAGTGGAGGGGGCAGAACCTGGTCCTGAATGGCACCGTGAGACTGCCCTATTGTATCTCTGTATGTCTTTTATGTGAGAAAAACAAACTTCTCACGTGACTTCAGATGGCTTTCTGTTACATGCAGCTGAGCTTAATCCTAAGTGATGTAGGTAGATAGGAGGGTTTCAACTCCATCTCTCATGTTATGTCTTCCGAAAAATATATCTGGGTGCAAAAAATAGAAAGAATAGACCAATGTTCAGTAACCAGAAAGGGCTAACCTCCTTCTCCAGTTCTTTATTTTGAGAATCTTCAGAAAGCACAGAAAAGTACAAAAAACCAATACCATAAAAACCTGTATGCCCACCATATGGATCTGCCAACTTTAGCATTTTGTCATATTTGCTTTGCCTTTATTTTATTCAAAAGAAATAAAACATTACAGATCGAGGTACATCCTTTCATCCATCACTTCCTGTTCCATTACCACCAGCCTTGTCAGGACTACTAGCCACAGTACCAGAGCATGTAACTGGCCAGCATGGCCCATCTCAGGTCATCCTGGGCATATATTTGTCTCCATGAGGTAATACGTCATATATATGTTTTTATTAAATTTTTATAAATTGTATCATATGGAGTATGTACAGAAGTTGACTGTCTTATTTCTGAGCCCTATCTCTTCATTGACTATATAGATATAAACACAAATTATTTGGTTCACTCCTTTTTTTTTTGGCTCACTCCTTTGAATCGCATTGTAACATTTAATTATTTTAATTTTATTTAGCCATGTCCCTTTTGATGTATATTTAGGAAATTTCCAATGTATTGCCTTTATTTATTTATTTATTTTTGCAAGTTAAGGTTATTCCTTCTGTTTATTTCAACAGTCTATAGACTCATTATTTTCAGAAAGAAACGTGAAAAGAACTCAATAGATTCTTATATTTTCACATTCTCTATACAACACAGATAAATTTTAAAATAGGTAAACAATATGCTGTTATATCAGAGCTATACCCACAATATGGGACATGAGGCTGATCCATCATCCTTATGATGATTTGAAGATCCAGGGAAAATAAGTAGAACATGGCGTATTAACCAGAAAACACACATTTTTTTTAAAAGTTATTTTTGCATGACATTCTACTCTCACATGCAAACAAAATTATTTTTTCCCAGCCTTGCTGAGGTATGATCAACAAAAATTGTGTCATTTGAAGGTACAGAACTTGATGTTTTGGTGTGTGTATACATTGTGAAATAACCACCACAAGCAAGCTGATCAACAGACAACAGTGGGTCTCCTCCCATGTCTCCCGGTACACAAGTGTGTTTCTTTCTTTTTTGAAGCCTGTTGTTACAAGATTAATAAACCAGGAGAATGACAAAGATGCAGTGTAATCATTTCAGGAAGGTATTTGAAAACCCCTCTCATGACTACATGATGGAACAATGGGAAAAATGTGGGCTGGGAGATTATACCTTTAAGTGAAATTATAACTGTACAGTCAAATTCATGAGAACAGTGTTAATTTCTAGGCAAGGATCTCTTGTGTTGTGACCAAGATCTAGAACTTTATTCAATAACCTCATCATCCACCCACCCATCTATCTACCCATCCAGTGTTTTTCAGCGACGTTTTACCAGGCACCAAGGGGGACACTGGACATTGACGGGTCAATAGCACATGGAATAGTTCTTGACACATGGTTGGTATCTAATTAATATTTGTTAGTTGACAGATGTGGTCAGTGCCCTCCTAAACCATATACAACTGCTATGACTTTGATGAAGATTCAGAATATGTGCTTTTGAGATTTTATGATTTTTTTTTTTAAAAGGAGGTAAGAATACTTGGCAGTAAGCCAGATGAAAGAGATAAGACATCAAATTCTTTCCATTTCATGAAGCTAATTAAATAAAACTTATTATGGGTAAATCTGACATCAGGAATAAGCATATGTATACACACAAATATATACACAAACATATGCATGTACTAGGTCTAAGTGGAGAGAGATCCATCTTGGCTCTAATCATATAAAATATACACTCAAGTTTCCAGTTGAGCCCAAATTCAGCACGAGCCAATGAATGGTGTGAACTTAGAAGACTATGAACACTAGCTGAGTCCTAGACTAATTGGGGTGTTTGGACCAACCTTTGGGTAGTGTTAATGACTGTGTAGTGAATTTACTAAAAATCAAAGGCATTATTAATAGCATTCTTAAAACAAACTCTAGCTGTCTCAATTTAAAGAGGAAGTAACTGAGGCTCAGAGAGGCTGAGAGTCCTGCCTCAGGTCAGACAAGTAATAAGAGGGGAGTAGAGATTCAAATCTGGCCATATATGGCCCAGAGTCTTAACCACTCCACTCTGCTGCATTACCTCCTTGTCCACATAGATCCTACCTGAAGATGTGGCCAATCCAACTCAATGGGATCCATTTTTGAGGGATGGGAAGTAAAACAACAGTCACACAAAATGTCATTAATCATCACTAGAATGCAATAATGTCCCTCTGTGAGCCAGTATGACCACAAAGTCATGGCCCCAGTGTGGGCCTTTCTCGGTGGACCTCCCCAAGAAGCTGCTCTCTACTTTAAAGGGAGCCACACAGGGGTACAAAGTCAAGTCTCTCCCAATGCTAGTCCTACAATATTTCCAGGCAAGGCACAGAGATTCACAGTCTAGATGTGTCATGGACAGAGGCATCTGTATTTCAGGGTTGTTTTGAGGATTAGAATGAATACATGCAAAGCCTACCATCATGCCCACCACTTAGTAGGGGCTCAGTGAATGGTGGTGATGATGGCAAAATTGTTGCTGTCTCTGTTGCTGCTGGGAGGCATGCTTCTTGGAAGCTCTTTCACGTGGTTGTGGGTCCCAAAAGTACTCATGAGCAGCCTGCCTTCCTCTTACTTCTTGGAGGAAGAGGTATATTTTTCTTTATACCAATTCAACTGCCACTTATTAAACCAAGACCTTAATGGGCTGTGTATATCCAGAGGGACACTTTTTTTTTTGGTAATTAATCTGCCCAGAGGGGACACCTTTTTCTAATGTTTATAAAGTGCCTCATTGCTTAGCTGTGTGCCAGGGTCTTCCCACCAGATAATTTGATACCAGAACAAAGACCAGTCTCACCTGTCCTACCTTTGACTTTTCTAAGACCTCCTCTACTGACCCCCAAACAAAAGTTTCTGGTTATAATTTTCAAGCAATACCATAAATGTGAGAGTCATCATCAGGTGGAGGAAACAAGAGGCTATCAGGGGGAGCTTAGAAAGCATCGCCAGCTTCTGGATCCAATAACTTCTGTTGTATTTTTTCATTTGTGGTCTGTGATCGCATATGAGAGGATGTGTCACCTCCAGTGGGCACATTAAAGGGCTTGAATGAAATACAGCCATGGGAAGACTGACAGTCCCCTTGACTCACAGTAAAGCTCAACAAAGAGCTCGATAGTCCATCAAAGAGAGAATCCAGGGAGGAGGAGAGACTGCAGCCCACGTCTGTAATGTACACCCACAGACAGAGAGACAGGCTTTGGGGCTCAGCAAGGAGAGGGAGGGGTGGACCAGGCTTCTTAGGGACACATGGCAGGGCGAGCTAGATGCGTGCTCTAAGCTTTTGTCTTGCCATTGGTCAACATTTGCTATAGTCCTTGACATTACTTTGTAACATCAACCCTTCCCTCTTGCTTGTGTTTAATTCAGTTCCTGTTATGGTGATTTAGTGTTGCAGAAAAAAATACCCTCCCCCCATGGTTAATGATTTAAAGCAACCATTTTATTTTGCTTAAGATTTTGTGGGTCAAGATTCAAGAAGAGCTCAGTTGGTTGGCTCATCTCAGATCCATGTGGGGTCAGCTGGGGGTGAAGAATCTCTTCCGTGATGGCTCCTCTAGTCACATGGCTGGCACCCTGCTGTTCTATGGCCTCTCTCTCCAAATAACTTCTCATCATTCAAGGCCTCTCTATATGGTCTGAGCTTCTCCAAGGACAGCCTCCAGATAGACTACTTATGTGGTGCGGTCTTCCACCAGAGCCAGTGTTGCAAGAGAAAGTAATTGAAATCTGCTCATTTCTTTAGGCCTGGACTTGGCAACAGGAAAGGGCCACTTTCACCATATTTTGTCAGTCAAGGCAGTCATACAGCTCACCTACATTCCAAGGGAGGGGACATGGACCCTCAAAGAATTTGTGGCGCTTTACAATCCACCTGAGACTCCCAAGTCCCTCTCTTCTACCTCCTAAATCTCTCCAAAATACACCTCCTGCTTACTATCTCCACCCTGACCACCTCAGACCGGGTCCTTGTTGACAGTGTAGCCCCCCATCCAGTGTCCATCTCCTCCTCTCTTCCACACATTCTCCACTCTGAAGCCACCATAATTTCTTTCCACTGCAAATACGTCCATATCATGATTCCACTTGAAACTCACCGAGAGCTCTCATCTACACTTCTTCGCGTAGTAGTTCTTCATTTCTCTCTAAGCCCTGCACCTGTTCCCTTGCTCTGGGTAAGAGCATTCTTATTTTCCTTTGGGTTACCACCCTTTTTTCTTCTCTTAGTCCTTGTAGCTCAGGGAGGGCTGATATCCCCTGTCCCCCATGCCTGACTCTAGCAGTGAACATAGGACTCAGATCTGGCCACTCAGACTCCTCCACACCTGTGCACACATTGATCATTTCAGAGATGGGCACACAACTTCAGCTGGGCCAACAGAGTCATACCTAGGACTCTGAATGGAATTATATGTAAATAATATTTTCATAAGTATGAGGGGTGTTTTGGAGTTGCTAAAGTAGTAGGGAAAATGCCAGGTGACCACTGTAGTTTGCTACCACCTTAGGAAAGCCAACACTGAGGAAAGTAGAGGCAAGGAATAGTCCCCGATGACATAAATAGACCACCTAGATATAGCCATTCCTGAAGTCCCTCTTGGCCTTTTAAATGAATGAACCAGTACAATTCTTTTTTTTTTGCTTAAACTTGGGTTGGGTTTCTGTCACTAGGAGCCAAAAAAAGTCCTAACATGCCCACTTCTCATGATGCCTGACTCTCTTTGTCACCTGGATCATGTTGGCCTCTCCATATCTTTTCCAGCTCCTGGTATCCCCATAGCTTATGCCCAAGTCATACTCTCTTTATCTGTGTTCTCAAATCATGCTTTACTCCTTCAGGTCTTTGCGTAGATATTCTTTGTGCCTGGAACAAGCTTGCTGGTGTCAGCCACAGAAAATTCCTGCTCATTTCCCAAGACTCAGCTGACCCATCACCTTCTACCTGGGAGATTTTGGGGTCTTTTCTCTGCCCCATGCCCTCATCCCCTCAGCTTGCTTTGCTCTCAGTATGCTCCTGGGGTATTTTATTAATCTCTCTTCCAGCATTTAGCATATTTTGTTAAGTATTGTATACGTGAAGCTGTTTCCTTCATTTTACCCTAAGCTCTGTTAAGGGTCTGACCTGTTGTACTCGTCTTCAAGTTCCCCGGGGCCCCAGCCCAGCTCCTCACACACAATAGATATTCACCAGACATCCGCAGAACGACTACAATTTTTAATCCACAAATATTTGGTCCCAAAGCTGCTATTGTCTGTGTCACTGCATACTTCAGACCTTCCCTGCAAAGAATTACACAGACAACCACAGACCACGTGCTCAGTCCCTTATCCGCAGTAACCCAAGGGGGTCTCAGCGCTTCTTTAAAAATTAATTTGTTCCTTAATTAAGAAACATGCTTATTTCAATTTAACCAACCTTCTATGTGATGTAAACAGATTGTAAGTAACTCAACAGCTTCGTCTAGCTCGTTGCATGTCTGAGAGGAGTATGGTGAAACCATTTTTAGCACATCAGCTGGGAAGCTGGGGAATATGTGGAATGCTCTGACTTGCACAGATAGAATTAAGGGAACTTAAAGAGAGGGAATTTGTCGGCTCTTAATCCCTACCTAGCAAATTAAATTGCTGTTACATGATATCATTACATCATTTTCAGAATTTTTTGAGATGCGAAATTCCCACGGTTATTAAAGAGGTGACTCAAATTCTTTGCAGCTCAAATCCGTATATATTATAGCTATGGATATATAGACTGCCCACATGGTGATGTGACAGAAAGTAGATATTCTGGATAGGATCCAGCTGGTTTGCAGCAGAGTCTCATGGAGGGGTATATTTACAGTAGGATAAGTCGGAGTTTGAGAGGAGGCAGGAGGCAAGATATTATGCATTTTTAATGAGAGACCTGTCATTCTTTTGACACCATCAGTATGTGGGAAAGCATCGGAGACAGACTAATGGTTTTGTAATAACAAATGCTAATGGAGGAACACACAGCCCGAGGTGTATTCATTAAACTTCTTCTACCTTGAAACAATTCATTGACCTGGATCCACTCATATCTTGAAGGGGGCATGGGTTCCAACTCAGATGCTCTTCACACCTTGACAATGCAAAATGCACAACCCAGGAAACTCTAGTTGGGTTTGAGAGTTGAGAAAACTATGTTTTCTACACAGATGTTACAGTATTTAGTCAAATATTAGTGAACCTAGTAGCACATATACTGATAGTTAATTTTTTTCAGAAGAGAAAACATGGTTTCTTTAAAGGCCTGAATAAAAAAATACTAACAGTCTTCACTTTGCCAAAAGCAGGTATCTCTGAGTTTAGAAACCAATGGAAATGCTAGGAATCTTCTTAAAGGTTACATAGTTATTCATTTGTAGTGGTTAAATGGATGCAAAGAAATTCTCTACCTTGAGAAAAATGTCCTTATAGTTAGATACATTTGAAACATAGTGTTGATTCTGCCAAAATCCCAGAATTTTCAGGCCAAGGGGTTGGACTAAGGTTTTGCTTTTGTTTTTCCCATTCAAAGCACAGGAGTCCGTCTTTTTGTTTGTTTGTTTGTTTGTTTTTAAAGATTTTATTTATTTATTTGACAGAGAGAGACAGCGAGAGAGGGAACACAAGCAGGGGGAGTGGGAGAGGGAGAAGCAGGCTTCCCGCCGAGCAGGGAGCCCGATGCGGGGCTCGATCCCAGGACCCTGGGATCATGACCTGAGCCGAAGGCAGGCGCTTAACCGACTGAACCATCCAGACGCCCCAGGAGTCCGTCTTTGATTTAGGGAACAGCAGCGAGAACATGAGAGAAGGTTCCCAATGTACATGGACTATCTTCAGCTTGAGCCTTTAGCACGGCCTGCCCCGCTCCCCGTCACTGGAGGCTGGCCTGAATGGATGGCACAAGCCCTCTGACTTCCCAGTGAGTTCAGAGATCAGAAGGTGGGGGAGGTGGGTGAGGTCAGGGTGCTTATTCCCCTGCATCATTCCCTTCCGAGTTGCCCTGGGCTGGTCGTATCTCACCCTGAAGATCTCTGTTCCCCCCAGAGTATCCCTCTCTGCATGACTCCCCTTCCAGGTCAGAATGTTCCCTCATTCCCTAGGGCTGGGGATGATAACAGCTCTGTTCTCACTGGCTTGGATTACACCCCCATCCCATGCAATTCACCTTTAAAATAGGTCCCCCTACAACTGTCCTAATGTGAGCGTACCGTCTGTTTCTTATTGAGATGCTATTACACGCAGCCAACACTTTCAGTATCGTTTTTCAGATATTTGTTCAATATCACAGAAATCTCCAAATACTCCCAAACTCCAATCCTGGGAAAGTTGTCAAAAACCACATTAAAACTGGTGATGTAACTGATCGGTTCTATTATGACAACAAACGATTTAGGAAAAACGATTTTAGTGCTTTATGTCTATAACATTTCTGTTGGTCTTTTATAAAGGTTCCATTTGACTTCGCAAAATGTCCATTGCTCGGCTTCGCTGGACCCATATTAATAGAAAACGAGGACTCCCTCTATGTGTTTTGCTAACTGAGAACAGTGTAATGCCATTACTTGTCTCCTTGACTAGTCTGCATGATTCTCCCCAGAAAGCAGAGGTGAGTTAGGTCTTCCTGGATCTTCTATGTCTGGAGTCGACCTGACACATGATTGATTTTGCATAAATATTTCTTGTAGTGAATTTGGGGGAAGAATGGCATGGGAGAAAAAGGTTCTCACGCCACGTAACATGGCCCGTGGATTAGAGCCTTCATGATCTGAGCTAGAACACAGTGGGTCCCAGAGCTGACTCAGAACCAGCCTGCCTGAATCTCTGCTCCTCCTTTTACTAGTCAAGTGATCTTGGGTCCAATGCCTTAGCTTCCCAAGACTCAGTGTTCTCATCTATGAAGTGGGGATGCAGTGGAACCTCCCTTATGAGGCTGTTGCAAAGGGTGAATGTGAAAACCTTAGTGCACTGTTGGTCCCTGGTGGGTGCTCAATGCATGCCGCTATTTGCTGAAGCTTCAGCCCAGTAAACATCTGAACATCCACTCAGGTGAACCCAAATAGTCTGGGTCCTGGGCCATCCTATCTCCCCATGGTCATTGCTGTGCATTCACAGCAGGGTCTCAAGCAGCACCTGGGAGAGGATTAGATTAGCTCTCGTTGAACACATTAGCTCTTCTCCTCATAGCCTTCCTGCAGTGTGGGTCTCCTTGGGCGTTCCAAGGACAGTCCATCCTGAGATTGCCAAGTTTCCCCCTATTTCAGTCATTCAGGGACTACTTTTATCATATGTGAGTATGACCAGTACCCCGATTTATTTATTTTTCAATATACTTTAAATTGACCTTTAAAACTTAACCTTGTTCTAAGCAACTTTATGAATAAAATCATGGGAATGATGTACTAGGTATTCTTCAGCTAAGCATCAAAATAAAAAGCTATTAAAATAATAAAAATTCATCATTCTGCCACCTAAAATTATCTTTTATACTGGCAGAGGTAGACAATGCTTACGTGAGGAAACAACATGTTTTTAGAAAGTACTTCTGCGACAGGGAGGAGAGAAAGGTATATTCGAGCTTGTAAGGAAAGTACAGTGTGAAGGTGGGTTCTCTCTGTTAGGACTGGGAGACCTGGACATGTCTGTCCAGCAAAAGGAGAGGGATGATGGGGAAAGTGGGTGAAGACCAAGAAGAAGGGGTTCATGAAAGAGCAGGGCCATGGAGAGTCCCCAGAATCTGGAATTAAAAATACAGGAATTAAGACAGGAAGAGGTGACCTCTCTCCCCAGATATTAGAGAGGCCAGAGATTTTGGAGTTTACAGGTAGGTTCAATGGTGTTCTCAACACAGAGGGCAGGATCAGCAGTAGAATGGGGGCAGAGAGACAAGCCAACCGCGGGCTGCATACTAGAGATCATTTCACTCAGACTTTGTTTTCACATGAGCTGTCGCACATGTGTGGCAGGCTCCTCGGGGGCACCTACTGCTTCTAGAGAAGGGACGCTGGTGTCAGCCATGGGAAGTGCCCTCAGAGAAGTGGTCGGTGGATGGGTAGGACAGGTGTCAAGACTAGAAGGGACTCTCCAGTCACTCTACAGGTCTGGCCCAAGTGCTGTATTTTAGCATCAAGAATGATGGAAGAAGGCATTCTTGCTGGGGAGATACACTGCCTTTAGGAAATGAGTCAATTTTCAAATGTTTAAGGAAAAAAAACAACCGCTAGAATGAATGGTGAAAAATCCAATGATGACTTAGAGACAGAAGATGGTTTGGGAGTGAAAGACACATCCTAAGTTGTGACTTTTAACAAGCAGTCATATTATTTCCCTAGTTAGTTAGCGTGTAGGAAAGGTAAACCTAAAGAGAATGGGGATTTGGGGCGATACTGCATTAATATATAATGGGTCAGTTTAATATCTATCTTATCTACATACAAATACTTGTAGAATTATGAAAGCATAGGAAACAGAATGTGAGCACTGGACTCGGGCAGATACACCATTAGAAATGAGCTAGGACATTAGTCACTGATCCTATAAAGTAAGTTCAATGGCATCTATGCTAAAGGAGGACTTCCAGCAAGTCTGCAGGGTATGTGATCAACACTCTTATACATGGAATCTAAAAACGCTGAACTCCTAAAGACAGAGAGTAGAATGGTGGTTACCAGGGGCTGAGGGTGGGGGGTTGGGGGAGGTATTGGTCAAAGGGTGCAAACTTGCAGTTAGAAGCTAAGTTCTAGGGGCGCCTGGGTGGCTCAGTCGGTTAAGCGACTGCCTTCAGCTCAGGTCATGATCCCAGGGTCTTGGGATCGAGCCCCGCATCGGGCTCCCTGCTCGGCGGGAAGCCTGCTTCTCCCTCTGCCCCTCACCCTGCTTGTGTTCCCTCTCTCGCTGTGTCTGTCAAATAAATAAATAAAATCTTAAAAAAAAAAAATTAAAAAAAAAAAAAAAGAAGCTAAGTTCTAGGGACCTAATGCACAGCATAGTGATTGTAGTCAACAGCACCATCTTACATACTTGAAAGTTGCTGAGAGACTAGATCTTAATTGTTCTCACCACAAAAAAGAAAGGATAGTGATGTGACGAGATAGAGGTGTTGGTTAATGCTACAGTGTTGATCATATTGCATCGAATCAATACAGTGCACATCTTAAACCTACACAGTGTTGTATATTAAACTCACACAATTACTAACTAGTAATATCCCCCAATGTCCACCAACTTATGAATAGACAAATAAGGTATAATAATAATCTAAAAATGTCAATAAAATAATTACCCATATAATGGCATATTTGGGAACGAAAAGGAACAGAGCATATATACCTACAACATAGCATAATCTTGAAAGCATTATGCTAAGGGAAAGATGCCATAAAAAGCCACATGGTATATGATTCCATTTATAGGAGATGTCCAAAATAGGCAGATCCACAGGACAGAAAGGAGATCGGTGGTTGTCGAGGGCTGGGAGGGTTTGGAGAAAAATGAGAAACAATGGCTAATGAATACGGGGTTTCTTCTGGGAATGATGAAAATATTCTAAGATTGACACTGGTCACAGCTGCACAACGATGGGTCTACCACAAAACACGGAACTACACACTCTAAACGGGTGAGTTGTAATTATATTGTTAATTATACTGTGGTAGAGCTGTCATATATTAAAAAAACAAAAGAAAAGCAAATGACTAAGGACTAAGCATGCTGGTGGCCAAATGTGTGCTAAGTGTTGGCATAAAATGTGCTGGGTGAAGGGGCACGTGTCTGTCTTCTTTTTTTTTTTATTATTATTATTTTTAATATATATTTTTAAAGATTTTATTTATTTACTTGACAGAGAGAGATAGTGAGAGCAGGAACAGAAGCAGGGGGAGAGGAAGAGGGAGAAGCAGGCTTCCCGCCGAGCAGGGAGCCGGACATGGGACTCGATCCCAGGACCCTGGGATCATGACCTGAGCCGAAGGCAGACGCTTAACGACTGAGCCACCCAGGTGCCCCACATGTCTGTCTTCTTGATCACGTCGGTGTACGGGGCACGCCCAACAGAGTCACGCTGTCGCCGTGTCCGATCCACGATTCAGACATCCTTGGGATTCTGGAAGGGGAGACAGGCCGGGAGAGGTTGTGTTCCTAAACAAGGATGTTAAGGGGCCGATCAGCAGGGGTTCCTTCCAACACACCCATTCCACATGTGTCTCGCAGGAGAGCGTCCAGGGAGACATTGAAAAGCTGCACAAAGCTGAGGCCAGGGACTGCCGTGACATCGGTCATGGAAGGTTTCGCTGAACGGCATTAACATAGCAGCCGATCCCGATTGCGGGGATGAGGCTGTTTTCTGTGTTCGTGTCCTCATCAAATTGCAGCAGCTTGAGAAACACACCTGCTCTGGGAAAGCGAGGTGACTGGCGGCAAAGTTACTTCTGAAAGCTGAGCGGGCCCGGGGACTCGTCCGAAAAGCCTCTCAATGCCATCGGCATGGCCTCTGCGAAGGACGGTTCGCTGTGATTAGTGGCATCATGTGACTATTCAAAGAATTAATAATTACAGAAGCTTCATTTGCATGTGTGGCTAAACACGTCCTGAAAGTTGTTTGTGATGCGGTTTTCACTGAAGAACGATGTTGATGCCGGGAATACTTGAAAACGTTAAGTTAGTAATTCATTTGAAATTGAACTTTGGACAGCTGTTAAGACAGTTTGTGAATTTGTGTGTTTCTCTTGAGTTCGGTCCTCGGTTTGGCTATTTCGGTTTTCATTCTTGGGAAAAGCCACTTTGCTCATCAGCGGCAGACATGGAAGGGACTGGGATGTGGATACCGTGTGCCTTTTCTACTTCTGCTGTAACCAAGTAGCGGCTTCACAGTGTCTGTGGGTCAGAGGTGCGGGCACGGCGGGGCTCATGTGGGTCTCAAGCCGCCGAAATCAAGGTGTGCACAGGGCTACATTCCTTACCATAGGCTCTGGGGAAAATCCTTCCCAAGCATCTTCAGGGTGTCGGCAGAAGGAATTTCCTTCTCACGCTTTCCATGCGGCCCAACCCCATCCTCAAGCCAACAACAGCTTGAGTCCTTCTCGGGCTTTGGAACTGTCTGCACCAGGCTCTGCCTGCTCTCTCAAACTTCCCTCTTCTGCTGCATCTTCTTACTCTCCTGCCTCGTTCTTCTGCTTTTATGGGCTCAGGGGGTTAACTGGATCCACGTGGAGAATCTAGGAGACTTCCTCTTTGAATGTCAGCTGATTAATAACTTTATTTACATTGACAAAATCTCTTGCTGTGTTAAGGCAACATAAGCGCAGGGGTAAGACCAGGGGGTGGAGGTCATGGGGTCAAGGTCAACATTCTGCCTCCAACATGGCGATGGTTAATTTTACGTGTCAACCTGACTGGGCCACGAGGTGCCCAAACGTTTGGTCAAACATTGTTCTGGGTGTGTCTGTGAGGGGGTTTCTGGGTGAGATTACTGTTTGAATCAATAGACAGAGTAGAACAGATTGCCCTCCCCAAAGTGGTGGGGCCTAGCCAATCGACTGAACACCTGATTAGAACAGAAAAGCAGAGAAAAAAGGCACTCCTTCTCCTCCAGCCTGACTGCTTTGAGCTGGGACAGTGGTCTTTTCCCACCTTTACATTCACACTGAAACATCGCCCTCCTTGGATCTCGAGCCTCCTGGCTTCTGGACAGGAACTATACCATCAGTGCTCCTGGGTCTCCAGCTTGCTGACTGCAGAGCTTGGGAATTCTCAGCCTCTGTAACTGTGTGAGCCAAGTTCTTATTAGCTATAGATACAGATATTTACTATTGATTCTGTTCCTCTGGAGAAACCGAATACAAACATCCATAAAAGAAAGTCCAGAATTATCACCCGGCTTTCACTGGCCCCTAGGCTAATCAAGCTAACTGCAGTTCTGGCTCCATTTTTCCCATGACCCAATCAATGGCAAAAGCCACCATGAGTTTAAACTCACAGTCTCCATCTTGCATGGCAATTTTCACTTAGATGCTCTATTTTATACTGACGTCCTCACGTGGGGTAGGAAAGATACGGAAGGAAGTTGTGAGATCCCAGTAAGGTGCCTCTGTAAATGAGAATAGCTTTATCTACTTTTGGGGGGATAATGCAAGGCTGAAATGAGGGGATGTATATGAAGTCTGTAGCTCCATATCCTGCATATGATAGTGATGGCAAAACTGGGCACCAGACCACAGGAGAGCAAGGCAGGCAAAACCTAGAGAGTGAAAACACAGCTAGCCACAGTTCCAGTAAGAGGCACATGTAGAAAATGTGTCATTTTTCATTTGGGCTTATTATGTCCACCTTCAGGCTCCTGGGTGGTCAACTTCCTACCAAGGACCTGGACAAGGCGTTGGTCTTCATGAGAACAGGGAAAATTCCAAAACAAATCAAACTCCCAACACTCTCAGGTTAATATTTATGTGACATTTTAGTTCCTTCAGCAAGGTTTTTATTCTTTGAATTTTGAGGGGCTTTGTGAAGGAGGCTAGCCGAATCTGGATGGATGAAGGTGGAAGGAGGGAGTCACGATGGGGTCCCTATGCCCAAATGACTCACAAGTGCCCTTTCATCCCCTGGGCGCTGGTCTTGATGTTTCCAAGGTCAAAACTCTACCTGACATTCTACAACCTTCTCTGATGTTCATGGTCTTGCTCTCCTTCTTGAATCCAACCTGGGGCTCTAACCACTCTTCTGGGAGGGGGCAGCATGCCTGCTCAGGTATCTCATGATCCAGCAGTTCACTGGCTAAGAACTACCTTTCCGAAGTACCTACCATACCCTGCATGCCAAGCTCACAGAACCACCTGCCCGGGACAGATTCTCCAGTGCTCCTTCATCTTGGAGATGGACAAGACCATCAGCATCTTAAAGTCTCTGAGAACTTGAGCAGTAAAGAAACCAGTTTGATTGATTCCTTCTTTTATTTAGCCAAGAAATCCTTTCAGTGATGCCCCCCAACTAATTCTCAAGCTCATAGTAAAATCATAGAAAATGCTGGTTACTCTTGCATTTTAACTTTGTAAAAGTTGGGTGAATCTCTTAAACTTTGGGTATTATATGGGGGCCAGTCACAGTTAATCCAGATCTATTCTCAATTCCCTCCTCCCCAGCCCATCATGCACATGCACATGTCCACATGAACACACATGTATATATGTGCACACACACATATGTAAATACCGGGTCACACATGGTTTCTCTTGCAGCTAGGGGTAATCATACGATACAGTTCTGCTCTGGGGGTTGTTAATAAAAGACTGCTGAAGGCCTGTGGTAAAGACCTTGCATCCTTCATGAAAAGCACAGACATATCTCCTGCTCCCTCTCTCTTCTTCCTTTAGATATAGCGGTGAGTTTAAAGCTGTGACGAGTCCTACAGCCAAAGAGAAAGGCCAAAGACTCACAGAGATGCCGACTGTCAGATCAGCGAAGTGAAGGAAGCAGCCCACCCACCTCTCAGCTTCTGGAAATATGGGAAAAATCAACCTGAGGTGTTTAAGCCACATTAATTGCTATTTTGTTTCCTGCAGCAGAAAACATTCCTCAATGATACATTAAGAGATGAATTTAATATCGAGATCCCCTGTTACAGTTTTTCCAATTCAGAAATTTTTCTTCCAGGTGGTGTTTGCCCTTCTGTAATATAACTTGACCTTACCCTTTAAGGTGTAATTAGGACCAGGCACATCTGGACTGTCTCATGCTGTAAGGAATCATCCCCATGGACAGGCATGACCTAGAGGAGCTTCCCAGACTGCAAACTCTCAACTGAAGCCACACGGCTGTTTTTACTGCTTGCCCGTTGTATCTCCCACAAGCAATAAAATAAACATTTCCTATTTAGATGCAAAGCCTTGGCTGGGAAACAGCACTGAATGCTTACATCAGAGACCACTGAATAAGGGTAAAGAAGTCTTTCTGTGGAGGATAAGCAGGAATACTAAGAAGTAATTAACCCATACCAAGACAGAGGAAATGCAGTCTCCTTGGAGGAAGATGGCATTTGAGGTCAGACAGAACCAGACTCAAAGTATCTCCTCTGAGAATCTGTGTCAACCTCTCTGAGCCCATGCTTCCTCATCTGAAATATGGATATGATGATAGTCAGTATCACCGGGAGGATGAAAGAGGAAGACAGATCTGGAAGCATCCATTCTGATGTCCATCACCTATGAGGCAAGCTGTGATGGCTTGTTCAAGGAGCAGAGATGTCTGTTTGATGTGGCACCTCATGGCCAAGGGCAAGGGTAAAGGAGAGAGGATGAATGAATGTCTTTCACTTACAAACCTTGGTGGAATAAGTCAGACCATAGGATGGTTGTTTTCAAAAGCTGTCTTTCACTGAAGCTCATACACCCAGTAATGACACCTGCCATAACAGAAGTAGACTCGGACTGACAAAAGTAAAGGTCTCAGGTTACTTTACGAATATACGGGTACTGGTGGAAATCTATGAACGAGTATCTAACTTGAACCAACCGTGGACAGGTTTCCAGAAACTTGACATATTAGTGCAAATTGGATTTTTTCCCCAAAAAACCATTTTTGAGATATATGGTGAACAAACTCCTTAGAAAACACTTCTGAGTAATTCTTTCACTTAATCAGTTGGAATCTTTATTGATGGGGATCCCTCAGGGTGACAAACATAAAAGCAGATGACAAGGAGATGCACTATAAACCCACGCAAAACAGGGAGGGACCATTTCTTGAGGGGTTGCCATATGCTAAGCCTGGCTGCCAAGAACTTACATATATTATCTAATTTAATTCTTATTAAAAAAGTTCGGGATGAGTAGAGCTCAGGTATGCTTTATGGAAGGGACACATTCTCGGATACTGCAAACAATCGAAAATGTGCAAAATTCAAGAGTAATCTTGATACAGAATGGTATATATTCATCTTTGCAAGCTAAAGCAGCACCAACTGTGGCAAAAGCAGATTTATTTAAAAACTGAACTCTGTATTTGGCAATAAAAAGGCATGAAGTACTGATACATGCTCCATACAACACAGATGCACCTTGTCAACACGATGCTGTGTGAAAGAAACCAGTCACAACGTACCACGGATTGTGTGAACCCATTTCCAGGAAATGTCCAGAACAGGCAAATATACAGAGGCAAAAAAAGTAGATCTGTGGTCTCCTAGGGCTGGGGAGTTGGGGGAGTTGGGGGAGGAAATGGGAAATGACTTCTAATACATACAGGGCTTCCCCTGGGGATGATAGAAATGGTCCTAAATTTCATTACACAAATGAGATTTTAAAAATATTTCCACACTGCATCATTTCAAATTTGCCTAATTCAAACTCATGCAAAAGGCTGCCATTGTGGATGCTCACCAATGCAAAATAGGGAACTAGACACTCAAATTCACATAGCTGATAAGACGAAGAGCCAGGATTGGAATTCGGCTTCGCTGGCTGGCAGAGTTCTTCCTTCCCCTGTAAGGTGCTAGGTAATGGCACCATGCCCTACCATTGGGAAAAAAAGTGGTTGATAGTGACTAATATTTATGGCACATGGAGTATTTATTTTGTTAGGATGGTGCTCAAGGCTTGATATCTATTTTCTCATTGAAAAGCTACCCTTTGGGGGCATTACCATTATCCCCATTTTGCAGAGGAGTTACCCAAAGCTCAGAGAGGTAAAACAACATGTTCAAGGGCTCTCAATTAGCAGTGGAAATGTAACAGAAAACCAGATCTTTTGGACATAGGAGTGAGCGGTCCCAGCCCGTGTGCTGCACTCTTGTTAGAACATATTGATCTCCCGGATGAACTGACAGGCACATCCTCATGATGCATTTCCAGTTGACTCACTGGTAAGCAAAAATATTAATATTCTCTGAAAACCTCCTAGAGCCCTCTTTACATTCCTTGTATCCTTCCCCTCCCTCCCTAGTCCTTGGGATGTGGACGTGAGGCCAGCACATTGATGTAAATGGCAGTCACCCAATGATGTGCATTGTTGGAGTATTTTCAGACAATCAGGGCTGACTATGGTCTGAAATTACTGTGATAAGAGAAAACCAAAACCACTATGCTGAGGAAGTTTCCATGATGGGGCACTGAGTAGGTTTTTAATCTAATAAGGGATACCTAATGACAAAGGCCTCAGAATGCTTTCTAGAAAGACCTCTAAGATAATAGAATAGACAAAGACTATTTTTGTTCCAGTAAAGACTCAATTTTCTAGTAACCATACAAAAACTGGTGGCATGAAATACACAGAGAGGAGTTAAGTAGGTTCGAATGTCTTGGGCAGCATAGCATAGCAGTTAAAAAGCATGACTTGGAGTCAAATTGTCTGGGCACTGTAATTCTTACTGGTTGAGTGACACTGGATATGTCAGCGGTTATTAGGTTTGGTGACGAATACAGAGAAGCCCACATATAACAGTGAGCTAAATGGGACAGAAGTTCATTACAGTCTCATGTGAAATAATTCTGGAGAGGGCTAGTATAACATTCCACGGACCACAGAATCCAGTCTCTGTCTTTCATCATGGTTTCCACCCTCAAAGCCACCTTACAAAGCAGAGGGGCTGCCTGAGGTCTAGCCCGCACCGCTTCATTCCAGCCAAGACAAAAGGGCACTCTTCCCAGCCCCCATGGCTCCCACCTCCTTCTGGGAGGTCACAAAACACTGTGCTTAGAGCTCACGGGTCGGTACTTCATCACACGGCCACACCTAGCTACAAGGGGGCCTGGGCAGTGTAGTTTTCCTATCGAC